GTTCAATTTTGGAATTAAAAAACCTAAAATGTTTTTGTTTTTTTTTTTAATATGTCTTCATTGATTTCAGAGAGAGAGGAAAGGAGAGGGAGAGAGAGAGACAGAAACATCAATGATGAGAGGGTCATTGATCAGCTGCCTCCTGCACGCCCCTGACCAGGGATCGAGCCTGCAACCCGGGCATGTGCCCTGACCGGGAATCGAACCCCGACCGCCTGGATCCTACGTCGACGTTCAACCGCTGAGCCACTCCCATCCGGGCTAAAAAACCTAAAATGTCTTGATCACTGATAAAAAACAAAAGCATTCCACATCATTCTCAAAGTTTATATACCCTCCCTTCAGTTTACTAAAGCTTACTTAATTCCTTTTTCCACAATGTTTAAACAACAACAAAACCCCAGCTTCCTTCTAGCCTTTCTTATAGTAACCATAACTACAATAAACATTTTGGAATACTTCATTACAAGCTTTTTTCTGCGCAAACCTATACACATATATAAGTACTTATATTTATATAAAAACAGGATTATACTTCATATGCTTTGTAATTTATGCATTTCTCATTTAATGGAGTAACTTTCTTCATATTCAATAATTTCTGTATCATTTCCTAAATGGCTGAAGAGTATTCCATTATAGGGGACATACTGTAAATTACTTAAGTCAGCTGCATTGTTAAATATTTGGATAGCTTCTAATTTCTATTATTATAAACAACTCTGAGAGGAAGATTCTTGCAGCTATATCTTTGTAAAAGTCCATTACTGAATTCCAGAAAGGTTATCCAAATGTACTTTCCCAGCACAACTTCCCTAACATTGGGTGTTCTTATTGAGGTATTTTTCTTTCTTCTTTTTAATTTGTAAGGGCTTTTTATACATCACAGGTAATTATCTTATCACATATTTTATAAAAATCTTTCCCATGTGTGGTTTATCATCTAATTTTATTAATGGTCTCTGGATAAACAGACATTTTTTTAAAGTTAAATCTATTCTTCCTTTCCTTATGGTTTCTGACACTGGTGTCTTTGTATTCTAATGAGAGCATTTAATTCAATGCATTTATTTATTGTGATACTTGATATAGTTGGTCCTACTTTTGTCCTTATACATTTTGTTGGTTTTTTTTTTTAAATTCTCACTTGAGGATATTTTTTCCCATTGCTTTTAGAGAGAGTGGAAGGGACAGAGAGAGAGAGAGAGAGAAACATCGATGTGCGAGACACATCAATTGGTTGCCTCCTGCACACGCCCCTGAGCGGGGCGGGGGATCGAGCCTGCAACTGAGGTACATGCCCTTGGCCGAAATTGAACCCAGGGCCTTCAGTCCACAGTCCAATGCTCTAACCACTGAGTCAAATCGGCTAGGGCAGAAAATTTATATTAATTTTAAAAACAGATTAACAGGAAGTACTTCGGCCTATACCCTATGCTTTCCTGGTTTCTCTGTTCACTCCTACTTATTTTATTCTCTGACTTTTCTAATAAATTCACAAATGAAGAACAGCTTGGCTATGTCATCTATTTTTCTGAGAATACTCTAGCCTCTAGAGATTTCTCCACTGTCTTCTAGTCTTTAGTTACTGCACAGGAGAAATCTGATGCAAACTTTGTGTGTGTGTGTGTGTGTGTGAGAGAGAGAGAGAAAGAGAGAGAGGGGGAAGGGGAAGGGGGGAGGG